GTTCCTGGCCCCAGGAGGGAGATCACTCGCTCATCTTTCAGCCCATCTAAGTATCTTGGAGGTTTGGGGTCTGTCAGGCCTGGCATTCTTTTGCTCTTCTTATCACTCTCTACCCCTTCAAAAAGGCAATTGATTAGTTTCAGCTTTTCCAAACCGAGATCCGATATGTTTCTCAGGATCAAACGTCTTCAAGAAGCCCAGAAAGAAATGTGGGGGATGGGGAAGTGAAAAAGCAAAACAGACGGGGCGGGGGCAAAGTACACCGCACACCCCAAACCTCCGCACCCAAAGAACCTAGGGAATGCTAGTACTGACTGGGCACGAGTGGAATGGTGATTTCTCCTGGAAGACCACTTAGCTTTAATATGTTCCCTCGATTTCCGGAAGCAAATATTTAAAGGAGCAAATGGATATCTAGAAAAGCAAGGTTGATGATTTATGCCTGGATTTCCCTCCAAGCATTTGCCTTCCTTGTATTTACAGGCGTGGCCCCATTCGCAAGTTGTACATCTGTTCCCTTCACGTGACATTTCATAAAAGCCCTAACATCTGGGCAGGATAAACTTCAGGTACCTGCTTAACTTTTCACTTGTCACACTCGAGTCCCGGGCGCGTCCCTTTCCCCCTCCTGCCTGCCTCAGTGGTGGCGTCTGTGGCGCTCTTTGTCCCAGTCCTCTGCGCTCTGGCTTCCAGTCCAAACTCCCAACCTCGCCTCCTTGCAGTGCCAGCCTTTGGCTAGTGCCAGTTTCTTTACCGCCTCTTGCTCGACTGGGCAGGTAAATGAGGGCATATCTTGAACCCACGGAGGGAAAAAAAAATTCACATTTCTATTCCGGCTCCAGACCGAGAAACCAAACCAAAACAAAAGCCGCCTCATCAACAATATTCAAACTCACACTCAGGTTCCTCCGCAGTCTCTTATAAGCCCATACATTCCTCAAAGAAAGAGTAAAGCGAGCTGCTGACTTTGATGATTGTCTTTTCATGAGCTTTCCCTCTATCTGATAGATGTTTAAACTGCATGTTTTATAGAAATTTAATTTCACTCGCGCGCCATCTCCCCTCCCCCAAGAAGGCTGCCTCTGGAATGAATGCTCTTAGAATTGTTTTTTCTTTTCCTAATCTGGAGTTTTGTTCCTCCGGCTTCAGCTTAAATCTCACGCAGAAATCCGACAACACATCCACAGACTTGGGGGTTAAAAAAAAAAACACAGAAGGAAAAGAAAATAGTCCACGTAAACAAGAAAGAAGGCCGCTGGAGGCCCTCACTGCAGCAAACCCCAAAACGATCTCGTTGCCGGGCGCCCACGAAATCCCGGCTATAATTGAGTGTTTTCTTTGAGGTTTTCTGACCATGTGCTTTTTACCATGGCTATTATGACTGATACAAGAAAATGAATATTTATTATGATCCCATCCCAAACTTTCCCCAAGGTTTATCTCTGCCTTTATAAAGGGGGAGAATATAAAATGGGAACGTGCGTGCCAGTGATTTTAACCTGCCCCACCTTCCAGTGACCTGCCCACATGCTCCTTCTTACTTTATAGACATCTGGGAATTCCATACATGCCTTAAACTCCAATTACACACCTTCTTCAAAAGGACACGTGCTTTGATTTGCCAAGAACATTAAGTGGGCTCCGTCCTGGGGCCTTGAAACAAAAGCGAATGGAAAATGTAGCCCATTCACTGATTACTGAGTGCATCTTTTGCTGTTCAATAAATAAATACAATTAATGATGCTTCAGCTTGCATTTTCCGGTGTTCAATTTGCGAAGAGTAGTTGGGAGGTGTCTGAGAAACGGTAGAGTTGCCGGCTCTGAGAAATTATGCAGAAGCCGATTTCTCTTTCCATTTTGCCAGTGCCCTTCCTTTCCACTCTCGCTGGTGCTGGGGGGTGGGGCACTCTTTATGACACATAAGCAGAAAATTCTGGAAAAGTGGCCCCTGGGGATCCCTGTCCCGACCCCTGTTTGTCGCTAATGTGGGCCTGTCTCTGGAAATTTGAGGTTGGGCCTTTGCCTGAATCCATTGCTGCTGCTCCCTCTGCTACCGCTGACACTTGGCGCAGCCGCTTTTAAGCAGCGGCCAGAGGCTGGGCCGGGCCGGTCCACACCATCCGAGGAGGGCACCAACATTGTCACTCGCTCCACCACGCGGGCCGGGCCGCCACCCACGCAGGGGAGCCTGAGCCGGTGCCCCTCTTCCGCGCCCTCCGCAGGTGAGACCCTCGCTCCCCACGGAGTTCTGTTTGGGTTTCCGTGGCGTTTGTTCCCCGCAGGTTTGTTTGTTTTTCTTCAAATTACAGATGCAGGGAAAACCGCCTGACATCATGAGAGCGGGACAAACGCTCACTTTGAAGGATTCCTGGGCAGAACTTCAAGTGAAATCATATGCCTGAAAAGAACTTGATACCGGTCTAGAGAAAATAACTAGTTCTGACTTTGCCAAACCGTGGAATGTGCAAAATGCTCTACTTTTTTGCAAGAGGCCAAGTGTCCCTTAAAAAGCTCCATTATGAATATAAGCCTGAAGACAGAAGGGGCAAGAAGCTTTGCCCCTGTCGAATGTGGGAAAAAAAAAAGTACTTACATAGTTTCAGCTATTTAATGGTATTTTATAGCTTGCACTTTGGAGAAGGTATCAGCAACTGTGCATGAATTATTATCTGTGCATATATTTAGCGTGTATATGCACTAAAAGGATAACTGTGTATATGGGAACAAAAGCTTACAAGTATCTTATGACTGAAGGGGATCAATCACTTGAAATTTAAAACAAGATAAAAAGAATTATTTTCACAATAAAGGAAGCAATCTTAATTCAATTTTTAAAGAAGCCACCCAAGATCTTTTTATACAATACTTTCCCCTAGTGAATGCATTCTGGTTGAAGGGCAAAGACCTTGAATGTAGCCACATTAAACGAAAAGAGTTAGCTCCTTAGTGATGAAAAAGTGGCAATTCATTTGATGTGATCTTTAAATAAGTGTAAGTAATAAATGAAGTGAAATGAAACAAAATGAAAAGAAATAATGGTGGAAGGGAAGAAACACAGGTGACTTATTACTACTCTTTAAAATGAGCATTTATATAATGTGTACAAGGGGTAGGAATGCAAAAATAGTTTGCAAGCTGAAAACTATATTTGAGAAGTTAATGTTTTCCACTATGAAGTCTCTTCAAAACTGTTCACCACCTTTCTTTTGTTTATTTATTTATTGCTCTGAAAATCTGGAGAAAACCTATCTTCAGTTTCGTGTTTAGTATTCCTCAATACAAATGTAGCATTTGTTTTCCTCCAGATTTTTTTTTGAAAACAAAAATGCAAGGTACTATTAAAAAAAAAAGAAGATAGTAGGCTCTCTTTCTTTGAAATATCTAATATTTACATCAAGAAGTAAGGTAGAGTTTACCTTGTCAGCAATGATGGTCAGCTCCATTCTGGTGTACATCAAGAAATCTGAAATATCAAATAGTCAGACCAAGCTAGTGAACAAGAAGGTTCCTCTATGAACAATTTAGAAAATGGAGGTAATTGGATGATACCCACGAAAGAAAGAATTATCATTTTGATGTTCTCCCTAATCCTACATACACATACACACAAATACACACACCCCACAAAAAATAGCTACACATCCTATGGATATACTTCCCTTTTCATTATTTGATAAAGGACTATCAAAATCCTAATAATCATAAAAGTAATAATAATAATCCCCAGCCTTCACTAATCCTTTAATGTAAGTAAATGCTACAAGCTTATTATAAAATACAGTCTAAAATGTTCACAATAATAAATTCATAATGATGTCATGTCAGCATTCTGAGGTGCTGTGTGAAGAAATAAAGAAAAATATTCAGGCAATAAAATAACCTCAACCTTAGTTAAGCAAATACAGTCTGCTCAGATACACATACTTATTTGACATACTCATTATTTGAATTAGGCACCCATATAATTTTCCAGTTTCATAGCTTCCCTAATTATAATTGAACATAGTAAACTAGATGTAAAAAAAAAAATAAGAACTAAGTAGATAAGAATCACCACTTTTAATGATATTAATCATAAAAGTCAGTATGTTCCTGGCCCAGAAATAATCAGAATGAAAGAAAAATCAAGCACCATTTGTCCTCATTATTGTTTTTCATTATTTCATGAGATTATAGGGGTGTGTATATGTGTGTGAGTGTGTGTATCTCCATGGGAAAAATACTGTGTAATTTTGAATAGAATATATTTGTTAAAGAACTAAACTAGAAACTGAATGGTTATGCATTTACAACAGTAATTGTTCCAACAGTTACCAAGGATACTGAAAACTCAGGTTGTTTATTCATTGTACTCAGATGTATAATCTTTATGTGTAAATTAGGCTCATACTTCTCCAACAGATAACAAAAACAAAGTGAAATATTTTCTTTTTAGCAAACATGACATTGAATGTCATACTTATTCATGAAATAAAATTAAACAAATTATAAGTGAAATTGTCTCCTGCTGAATTTATCATTTTCCAAGCATTTGTATTTATTTGTGTATGTAATGTTCATAACACATTATTCTTTCACTGAAATAAACCTTTAAGAATCCTCATCTTTAGAGTGGAGGGCATGACAAAAATATATAGTAACAAGAGAAAATAGTGCTAGTTTTGTACTGTTTATTTGAATGTTTTAGAGCTGTTACTTCAAATTATAAGAAAGAAAAGCAAAGGGCAAATTAATTTGCTCATTTTTTTGCTGCTGGAGGATTGATAAGAAATGGAGAGATGCTATTAAGCTCCACTGAAAACTAAACTGGAATAATAATAAAGCTGTCTTTTTAAATAACATGCCTGTGCCTGTCAGTAGCTGGTTTATTTGAGTTTTTCATTGCTTTGTTTATATTAGTGCCCCCTCCCTCCTGGGTGCCTCTGGAGTTAAACAAGCAGGTATTTACCACCAACATAATCCTGAGCTTTAAAAATATAGACCAAACTCTAAGATTCTTAAAATTTTCAATCATATTTATTTATTGCAGAAAAATAATATACAAAGATATTTACAAAACAATCATAAAAATATGAATGCATTTAGACACCGGATCTATTTGCATTTTACCATGGGTCATCAATAAATAAATAGAATGTTTTTTTTGTATTTTAAGTATTTATTTCCCTCAGAGGAATGAAAAAAGGAATTAACTGACTATGATTTTTCTGGCCAGTTTTATCCTAGTACGTTTATTTCTAAAGGTATTCTTAAAATTCCTCTGATTGTTACCATTTTAAAATGGAGAAAGTCCATAATGATGCCTTTCCTTTCAGTGGCTGATTGGCACGACCTCTTGAGAATGCATGCATGAAAAAATAAAAATAAAAACATTCTTCGTCAAGAAAAAAAAAAAAGGAACACAAACAACTGTTCAGACTTCTATCAGAATGTAGAGGTGTGAGGATGGTGCCGCTGCCCGTCTGGGATCACTGTCCACGGGCCTGTCTCGCTTTCTCTTTTAAAAGTGCGCCCCACGCCCTGTTTCTTTGAATTTGGGTTCTGCTCTTCTAATTTCCAAGAAAATCTTTGGCATATATATTTATTTTTAGTTATCCAGCTCCAGAGTCTCTAGACTGTCCATTTTCTCCTTCTCTGGAAACAATGACATCTGCAAAAACCCAGAGAGGGGGGAAAGTTGGTTATTGTTTAGGTCTCTGCCGCTGTTTTCTAAAACTAGTGAGCTCTGTTATCACTACCACCGAGAAATTATGCTGAACAACCTGGAAGGATTTCAGCTGGAGGGCAAGAGGAAGTGGGTGGGCGGAAAGGAGGAGGTGGAATTTGGGAACATTTGTTTTAAGAACAAAATTTAAAGCCAAAAGAAAGGGAGGCCCTGGCAAAACCGTCCGTTCCCTTACCCTTGAACCTAGAGTCTTTCTCAGTCTCCCCTCCTGTCGGTCACACACACTCGTGCACACACGCACACCTCTCACAAGGGGGGCATACCCCTGGGGACTCTCTCCCTACCCAGGGGCTGAACTGGTTTCCGAGGACACTGGTGGGATGAGATAGCGGTGTCTGGTTAGGTGGGAAGGCTGAGAAGAGAGTTCGAGAATGGGAAGGAGGCGAGGTGGCCAAGAAGCCGCGGCCTGGCCATTCGACTGTCCATCACCTGAGCGACAAAGAGTCGCTGAGGCGCAGGTCCTTACCTAGGTCTCCGGCCCTGCCGAGGGGGTGGGGGGCTCCGCCTGCTAGTGGGACGCGGACATGGACCAGGCCCCCTCCATCCTCCAGACCGAGAAGGCGTAGCTGAGCCGCTCGTGGGCCACATAGCTGCAGCTTGCCATCTTGGAGTCCAGCTCGTCGCTCTGGAGGACCTGGTAGAGGAAGTCGATGTACCTGGCCGCCAGCTTGAGGGTCTGAATCTTGCTCAGCTTGTCCGAGGGCAGCGTGGGGATGATCTTGCGCAGCGCGGCGAACGCCTCGTTTAGCGATTGCGTGCGCTGGCGCTCCCGCACGTTGGCCATGACCCGCTGGGTCTGCAGCTCCTCATACGACTGCGGGCTCCCGCCGCC